CCCCTACCCCCACCCCGACCCCCCGAATGTCAGTGTGCTCCCGGACGACTGTGGTCTCCACAATGGACAATACCTCCAGAGGCCTCCACTCCGTCATGAAGTGGAAGACAGTCTTGGCCATCTTCGTGGTGGTGGTGGTGTATCTGGTCAGCGGCGGCCTCGTGTTCCGGGCCTTAGAACAGCCGTTCGAGAGCAGCCAAAAAAGCACGATAGCCCAAGAGAAGGCGGATTTCCTGCACATGCATTCCTGCGTCACCCAGCAAGAGCTCGACGCTCTGATTAAGGTGAGATCCAACCTACTTCGTACTTTGATCATTGAACATGTATCCCCCCTGAACACTCCCTGTGTCTCAGACATACAATGGGGGGAATTTATCAAAACTGGAGATCATAAAATCTGGAGCAGTTGCCCATGGCAACCAATCAGCATCTCTCTTCAGTTTGCTCAGGTAAGATTTGAAAATGAGACAGAGAAGCTGATTGGTTGCCGTGCAAATCTGCTCCAGATTTGATAAATTCCCCTCACAGTGTTATATATAAAGTATCCGTGTTACATTGTTGTTTTATAATGACGTTGCAGAGCTTTGATGTATATTTGTTGGTTCCTTGCCTGGAGTTCTGGGAGACGGCGAGTATCTCTGAAGCCAGAACAGAATTTTGTTTCATTTTTCTTGATATTCGGATCCACTCATGACTCTTTTTGTTTTTTCGGACGTTCGGATGTGTTTTTTAATAAAAGAAAATTACATTTAAATAAATAAATTAAAAAGAAAACAGCATCGAGTTAATATGACATTTAATCATGACTCAATAAGTTATTTTGTGGCTTTCAATGTGTTTCCAAACCTCCTGCGTCCTCCTCCGTGTTCCGAGTGACTCATCGTCTATATTTTCCTACACAATCTCCTTCTATAAACTGTTTATATTTATAACTGGAAATCCGTCCGACTTTGTAAGCAATTCATCTGAAAATCTGACTGCAGAAGTCAGATGGGGGGCAACTGGGGGAGGGGGGCCTAGTATAACCGCTCCTCCCCCGTTATTCCCGACTCAGCTCATATTCTGATATTCTCTTTAACTTACATCTGTCGGTTACACATTTTGATGAATTAATGAAAAAAGAAGAAAATTGACCCAGTTCTGCTAAACTTTGACTGTGAGCCGGACCTTCGAGATTAGTGTGACTCTTCCGGCCTCCCCTTAAGTCTTCTATCTGACCTCCGTCCTCCCCTTCCGTCTTCTATCTGACCTCCGTCCTCCCCTTCCGTCTTCTATCTGACCTCCGTCCTCCCCTTCCGTCTTCTATCTGACCTCCGTCCTCCCCTTCCGTCTTCTATCTGACCTCCGTCCTCCCCTTCCGTCTTCTATCTGACCTCCGTCCTCCCCTTCCGTCTTCTATCTGACCTCCGTCCTCCCCTTCCGTCTTCTATCTGACCTCCGTCCTCCCCTTCCGTCTTCTATCTGACCTCCGTCCTCCCCTTCCGTCTTCTATCTGACCTCCGTCCTCCCCTTCCGTCTTCTATCTGACCTCCGTCCTCCCCTTCCGTCTTCTATCTGACCTCCGTCCTCCCCTTCCGTCTTCTATCTGACCTCCGTCCTCCCCTTCCGTCTTCTATCTGACCTCCGTCCTCCCCTTCCGTCTTCTATCTGACCTCCGTCCTCCCCTTCCGTCTTCTATCTGACCTCCGTCCTCCCCTTCCGTCTTCTATCTGACCTCCGTCCTCCCCTTCCGTCTTCTATCTGACCTCCGTCCTCCCCTTCCGTCTTCTATCTGACCTCCGTCCTCCCCTTCCGTCTTCTATCTGACCTCCGTCCTCCCCTTCCGTCTTCTATCTGACCTCCGTCCTCCCCTTCCGTCTTCTATCTGACCTCCGTCCTCCCCTTCCGTCTTCTATCTGACCTCCGTCCTCCCCTTCCGTCTTCTATCTGACCTCCGTCCTCCCCTTCCGTCTTCTATCTGACCTCCGTCCTCCCCTTCCGTCTTCTATCTGACCTCCGTCCTCCCCTTCCGTCTTCTATCTGACCTCCGTCCTCCCCTTCCGTCTTCTATCTGACCTCCGTCCTCCCCTTCCGTCTTCTATCTGACCTCCGTCCTCCCCTTCCGTCTTCTATCTGACCTCCGTCCTCCCCTTCCGTCTTCTATCTGACCTCCGTCCTCCCCTTCAGTCTTCTATCTGACCTCTGTCCTCCCCTTGGCGGGTAGGGTGGCGCATTGAGGAACCTGGCCTAAGGGCAGCAGAGAGAGTAAATCCGGCCCTGATAGCAGAGCCTCACTTTTCTCATTGATGTTTGCCTTACCATGATGACTGCTCAGTTGGAGGATCTGTCTTCATTGGCACCACCTGAGCAGCCTCAGTGTTGTAACCAGAAAAGAGGCATCAGCTCCAGTCATTAGGCTGTGAGGAGATATAGAAAATATGAAACTACTATTACAGAACCTGTGACCATTCACACCATTGTCGGGAGTTGTTGGGAAGAGCGAATGCCGGATGTTGTTCTCACATATGTGGACGTTTCATGGTGTATCAGGTGTGACTTTTTCCTTACACATGCCATTGTGCTCCATGTAAAATACACATAAGTGGCTATTTACACTGCTGAGTGTTTGTGCAGAGTGACATTGTGGACGATTTTTCACACTCACTTATTTTGCAAACACAGCTGTGATGTCTTCCCCTGTATCTCCTCCATGACGGTCCAGAGTTCCCCCTTAGTATAGAAAGCACAGAGGAGCCCAGCGTACTTCTCTCCCTCATTTTCCTTCTCTCTATTAAAGACATCCCTCAAGGACTTGATATTTATCTGACTTTATGATCTCCCTTCCCCTCTCCGTCTCTCTTTTGTTCTGAACACCGGACCATATTACCTATATGAGTTTGCTGGACATCCCATTAGAAAACCGGGGACATTAATATGGAGTTACCTCCATCACCCCCTATGGCCATTGACGTAGAGTTATCCCCTTTGCAGATATAACAGTCTCCACTCTTCTGGGAAGGCTTTCCTCAAGATTTTGGAGTGTGTCTGTGGGAATTTGTCCCATTTGTGAGGTCAGGTACTGATGTTGGATGAGAAGACCCGGCTCACAGTCAGCATTCAATTCATCCCAAAGGTGTTCAGTAGGGTTGAGGTCGGGGCTCTGTGCAGGACACTCAAATTCCTCTACACCAGACTGGTCACACCATGTCTTTATGGAGCTGGCTTTGTACACAGGGGACAGTCATGGTGGAACAGAAAAGGGTCTTCTCCAAACTGCCCCAACCATATCTTTATGGAGCTGGCTTTGTACACAGGGGGCAGTCATGGTGGAACAGAAAAGGGTCTTCTCCAAACTGGTCCAATCATATCTTTGTGGAGCTGGCTTTGTACACAGGGGACAGTCATGGTTTTTACCAAACTGTTACCACAAGGTTGGAAGAGCACAATTGTCTAAAATGTTGTTGTATGCTGTTTGTCAATAGAGATTGCATGGCTATGTGCTTGATTTAATGTACTTGGTTTTGGAATGGAATGTCCAACAAGCTCATAGTGTAATGGTCAGGTGTCCTCAAAGCTAAATAGAGTAATTCCTGTGGGTGGGGAAGAGTTCTGGCGCAACAGGAGGAATCCGACCACCTTCAGCTTGACTGGACCATGGTGGCATCTTCTCTCCTCCAAACCCCAGTCTGGGCACTGCTGCCCCAACTCTTGTGTCTTCCTAGTGATCACAGTGTGCGCTTTCCTGGCCACCATCTCATTGGCATGCCTATAGATGACTTTTCAGTCACACCCACCAGCTGACATCGTCCAATCAATGGACAAGATCTCTTCCAAAAAGGAGAAGACCCTCCCTCGCGGCTTGATTGCATTTGGAACATAGGAATGACCCCTAACTTCAGCTTCCAAATGCATGCATTCCCCTGCAGTGTAAATGCTCATCTTATCTAATCCACTTGCTGAACAACAGTTCCATATTCCCATTAGTCACCCAGCTTGTGTGCCAGGGCTGATTTATTTTGTTTTTATTTCCTACAAGTACTTTGTTCCCTTTTCCTCAAATGCTCATGAAATTATTTGCAGAAGGGAGCAGAGAGGGCAGAGCGCCGGGTTAATCTCTTCTGCTCTGGTGTCTGTTTTTGTCTGTGTGGGTTCTGTACTGCAATGCAGCAAGTTCCAGCCTTGCAAAACAGCAGCTCAGGAGATATGACGGAACAAGACGGAGCGCGCAGGGCGCACACAGCAGCAGCAGCGACCACACAGATGCCGGGAGCAGCTCTCATTAAACCCCCCCTCCCCGCG